TGCTACACCTCTCTCGCATACATACAAAATTTCTTTATTATTAGGGTAAGTCCCCACATATGGAAACATTCGTTTGTAACCCCTTTGCCAAAAATGAATGACTCCAAATTGATATGCAATTTCAGAACAATTAGTATTCTCCCAAGTCACTCAGAGCCATGGAAAAGATTGTGAATAGCTATCTACTTGAATGGGTACTGAAGCTCAAATGCACCCCTCTGGCACAACACGGTTTTTTTCTTCCGGTCACATCCACATGACCTCAACTTGTTTGCTGTTCCCCTGACTAGATTAAAGCCATCGATTTTGACCAAAAAGATAGTGTTGTTTGCTTTGATTTGACAAAAGCTTTCGATACTGCGCACAGACTTAGCCTGCTGGTCAAACCTGAAAGCATGGGTGTCAAAGGAAGACTACTCTGTTGATTGCAGTCTTATTTTCCTGTTTGGAAAATGAGTGTGCATTTTTGCGGCTATGCATCTACTGCTTGGGAATGTACATACTTCAGGCGCGTCCTACGGAGGAATCTTGTCTCGGCTTCTTCTTCTCATTTACACCCATAACCCCACTCCCTCCATTAAGATTGACACTAGGCTTCGAGTAGCACTTTATGGGGATGACGTGAAGGTATCTATTGCCTGCAGCGAGCGGGATCCTGACGACGCTTAGAGGATCTTAAACCAGGCTGTCGAGAATATGTTCAGCTGGTGCGCTAGATGGGGTCTGAGGATCAATCCTCGGAGAAGTCATCTACTTCCTCTCGGCTCATCTGAGTTGACGATTTATTTTCCAGATGGAACCTTGGTAGCTGTAGCTAGGTCGGCATAAATCATTTCTTCGGGGGTCATACTGATTTCTGATTCAAAGTGGAGCACCCAAGTAGAGGAAATCTCAAACAAAGGCTCAGACTGGTCCATTTTCTATTCAGGAATGTTCATATATCTGATCTCGGTGCGTGGATCAGACTTTACAAAATGTATGTACTTTCTATAGTCGAGTACTGTAGTCCTGTCTGAAGTCCCTTGTTGAAGACGTGAAAAAATCTGAGGATCGAAACTTCTTCACGAGGATTCTATTCTATCGATCTTTTCCGAGTACATGTTGCCCTCAAACGTTACCGGCCTACCAAGATCAGCTTGGGGAGCTAAACTTGAAGAGCCTGTTTCATAGGTGTGTTAAAACTTATCTTATTTCGGCTTTCAGACTTTTAAGAGGGTGGCGACGTATAAAGCCTTCACAGTTTTCGACCTTTCGAATTGCGGGCGAAGAGGTACCTTCCAGGCTCTGCGTCACAAAATTGGCAGGCGACGTCAAGGGCTACGAGGGAATACTTGCATCATACGTATAACGAAGTGGCTGGAGTCCTACCCACCCAATTCTTGGCGCTCAACAACTCATTTCAACTTGAAAAAAGTCATAAAAAAGTTTAATGTTCCAGATTTGCGGGGCATACCTGCTGTGTACTATTTGTACTTGTTTTTCTCTATTGCTTCGAAGCGTGTTTTATCCGCTTCTCGTCCTGCGGTTCAATCTGAGCTTATTTAAGAGTCAATCTACCTATTGAGTATTCCAGCTGGTCTTCGAATTCTAGTCCAAACATCAGCTTCTGCACACACATGCGCTCTTCGATAGCGAAATTCTTCTGCCCTATTCATTCATGCCCATTTGTCTCACCTGCAGCGCTCGAGTAGCCTACCGTCTCCACGTGCGTGGTCGACATACCCGTGTTTAGAATTCCGACCCCTATGACCCCCATGTGGCGACTGGGCATCATGGCCGAGTGATGCATGTCTGCGCCGCTGGTTGCTTCGGGAGGTTCTGGGTGCATGTGCTGGTCTCTCTTTCTGGAGCGCATAGAAGCTATCACCATTTACGGTTGCAATGAATAGTTGATTTGTCTTTTGAACTATCAACAGAGACTTCCCATGCCTTGATTCTTCCCTTACCTTTAGTCATCTCGAGTAGTGATCCGAACCGCTGGTCGAATTTGTCTATCGCTTATTTCGATTTTCTCGCTCACACATCTTTCTCGTCTATACTCGGCGATCAGTTAACCGCCTTCGCAATAAGCGTGTCCTACGTTTGCTGTTGTTGCGTTTATTGGTTGTTACTTGTTCAATTTTTTTCTCCCTTTTCTATTGTCATTCATTTCGTTTTTGAAATGACTGCTCCTTGCTGTACTTCCTCGTCTGTCTGATTGTAACGCGTCATTTGAGCGCAGAGTAAATGAGTGAATAAATAAATAAATAAATAAATAAATAAATAATAAATAACTAAATAAATGACCATAGTTGAGAAGTCTGGAAAATCGAACCACTGTTTTCAGTTGAAATTGTTCAAAATCTGTCACGAACGGTATTAAAATATTTTTTAACTTTCACGCTCTCCTCTGATGTAGTGCCACACCTACATAGAAACAAGGTTTCATTCAAGGTGAATGGTTCATGATACTGTTATGTCGTCAGTACATACTGGTTTTTGAAGATTCAAACTTCGACTCCCGTGATAAGAAAGTTGAAGGACTTCGAACATCAATAGTTCATTACCTGCTTGCATTCCACATAAGCAAAGCTGATGCCTTCATACAAAATACGCGGCTGAAGGAAGAAGTAAAACTGAAAAAATTGATGGATGGGAAAACTACCTTCAAGTGGAAGTGTTCAAATTATGTCGTTAAGGATATCAAATTGACCTGCACTCTGTGCTTTCCTCGATTATAGAGCGACTCATGCCTTTTAGAATCGTAAGAAGTTTCCAATTGAAAAAGATGGTTTACGATGCTGTCATATCCGCAAGTAAGATCATAGGTGCTGAGAGACTTAATTTTTGAAAATTAAAAAATTATTATATATCTAAGTTTTCACCAGCAGAGCTTCCCAATGATCTCACTGTCAGTTTGATCGGAATAGCTCAGCCAAAGTCAATCTACTCCGGCGTTTTAATCTGTCGCAAACGGATTAATCCTACGCAAACCATCGATGACAATGGATAAGTAGCAGTATTGTACACCAGCGTAGGGTTAAGTGAAACGGGTGAAACGGTCACCAATGACTCGAAGAAATAGCATGAAATAGAATGGCTTCATCAATACAATTTGATATATGATAACTTTTCCGGAGAGGCAGTTACAAATGGTATTGTGCACAGCTGCGAGAGCTGAAATTCTACAAGTCCAGATCCGCACTCTGCAGATCAAGACTGTCGCATGGTCTTGCACGCGATTATAAACAAACAATTAGAATTCAAAATGGTCGGTGTCTGTGTGGGAGCACATAATAAGCGCCAAAGACTGCATCATGCATCATGCTGTATTGGTGTGAGAATATATGAATTTATATCCCGATGGTGGTCATGCATGAATCAACGCTCGTATTCTCAGAATTCGCCGAAACATTCATTTAAGTACGTTTGACCGGGTACCCTAAAATGGTGACCCTGCTTCCTTATAATTGAAAGCCGTAATATATGTGGAAGCCTAGTTGGCGTGAAGCCTACTCATGCACTACCTCTCGCGCAGACCGTGGATCAAAATCGGGTTTACCATTGTTTCATGCTAGCCAAAACTCCTTACGAGGTCGATCAACGGATCAAGTTAGATATCATGAGACATCAAACTGTTCATTGACGGACTCTTAACACCTTTTTATAGAAAACACATGCACTCAAACGTCATTGCAATTCTGAACGGAGTTCGAATGCGTTAAGCGTACTCCAACGAGGGACTCGTCAACACCGAGAATTTTGTCTTTTTATTTGTTAGATGTAAAATGCGTCAACGCTCGCGGAAAAAGTGGTTGCTCGTTTACTTCACGAAAAATAGTACATCTGAAAAAATGGGCTTGTTCCTGATATTCCGTCAATGCTCAAACGAACTACTATCTCTGAGTGACGTATTTCCTGCTTAGAAATGCTTCACGACAAATGACTCAGCTCAAAACAAAATGAATCAAAAGAGCATTGCGAACGTCGAGTGGAAAGGTCTTTCCTGTGCTGAACTTACTACCCAATAAATTGAGCTTTAGTATCTCAGCACCGTCTTTCAACGTACTTAAAAAAGGTTAAAGAAAAACATTGACCTCGAACGGAACTCGAACACATAGGTGTGTTTTCCTGTCATTGTGCTCTTGATCCTTTACACTACCTATATTACGTCTTGCCTGAGAGTCTCAAAAGTCATCGGCAAGGCGAGGGCGAGCGAGGTCTCGCACAGTATAGTGAGGAACATTTCTAACATACAACGTATAAGTGCCTAGCTATTTAGCATGGAGAATGTCAGGGTTCCACTAATCATTCACATGGCAGCTTCATAAGAAATGTTTCAAAGGAAGTTACGTTTGTTGAAAGAGTGAAATTGTCGTCTTTAGCGAGACATTGCGTGAAAGGAAGCATGAGTATTCGAGAGAGTTTGATCCTATCAAAACAATAACAATTTTGCTCTTGAAATACTTTGGCGGCGTCGCGATAGGATATCCCTAAGAAAAATCATGATAGCTAAGAGAACGCAGAAGGTTCTAGTTTTCTTATCGCGGAACGGTGTGTATGAGAATTCATTTCCGGAGATGTTTTCCCCTTCGAACCCGCACATTCTTATATTCTTATTCTCATGTTTGCCCATATATGTATCACTCGTGTTTGAGAGCCTTGGAGTACATCTGTGTGAAACTGTTAGGGTCTTCACAGCCTTGAATGATGCAAACTCATAATCCACCGCAGCCAAGGGGCAAGGCAGGAAGTGGAATATCAGCTAACATGTTGGTTATTAGCTCCTGCTGACTCCCCCCATATTTGTTGCTTTTTCTCTCAAATGATCAGATCCCATTTGGTGTACCTCTTTAGTAGCATTGGTGTTCCTGAGGACGGCGCCGTGATTAGTCGGCCTGCGGCGGTCGTGGCTTCCCTCGAAATCGGTCTTGTTCCTGTTTGGCTTTCTAAATTCTTGTTGCAGGAGAAAGAGAAAAACATAGTATGGTTGGGTAAAAGAATGTCGTAGGGGTCCCCTTTTAGAAGCGGTCCTCGTACTGATAGTTTGTCTGCGATGCGAACTGTTCAGCGTTGAGCGATGCCAATAATTCGTCTTCAACACTACTCAATGCGTAACCCACTTCTTTGGCGTAAAGGTACAACGGCAAACTGCATGCAATTGCTGTCACCCAAGCTGCGGTGCTGCCGATCACAGCAACACGGTAGTTCCTGAAAATAAAGGCTCATCAACGAATGTCGATGTCCATCAAACTCGAATTGATCACCTGAATCGCGCACATATATCACTCTTACACATAGCCAAGTACCGATCAGCTGCTAGTAGTACGACGAAAAGCACCGAAGCATATTTGCCTTAATATAAAAATATTGGCTTACGCGGAACAATGCACTCTGTCAAAAAAACCATGCAATAACTCTAGGAAAACAAGGCTGTGTCAAGAGATAGGTAAATTAATGTTCTTCTGTAACTTTTTCCAACTAATATAATTTTCGCATTTTTTCATACATTGTAGTGTTACATAAATCAACACAGCTCGTCAAGCTCTTTAAAAAGCGGTGAATCAGAACCTAATATAAAAATCAGTTCTGAAGTCCTCGTTCCTTCGAAGTTCCTAAGAGCACGTCATTAGCAGCGACGCTTACTGCAATTGTGACCAGTAGCAATTTTCAATGCATGTATTTAGTAAGTTGTAAAGTACCTACACTATTTAAAGAAGGAACAAAAAGAGAAGCTTCGTGTCCTTTAGGTTATACTAATTTTGTCAATCCCTTTTTTTTTTCTCCAAAAATATGAACTCAGCCAAATGCCAATTCTGAATGACTTCGGCTTTTTAGGTTGAAAACAGCAAGTATGAGTGAAGTCGTTGTCTGGTATGTGATATACTTATCTTACAAAATGAAGTTCTGCTTCACTTTGTAGATGGTGTGCTTGGAACGAAGACTTATTCGATTGTCCACAAACATGTACGCGCATGCTTTTGTGAAGGGCACACATTCTCTTGTTTTTCGAATTACATTTACGACGCCTTGAAAGAAGTTACGCACTCGATCAAAGATATTCATTTGAATTTTTTTTGGTTCATCTATAATTTGTAGAAAATAGCCGCTGGTTGCAAGTCACTGGCCACATATTGGTTTCGATATTTCTCCGAGGGCAAAGAGCTCTGAAAACTTTGTTTTCATATTTAAACAGGATTTTTAGGAACTTACGTCGTGGTCACATTCAAGAAGCTACGAATACAATAAGTCATTTCACGGGACTTAATCCTAAACCAACCGTTTTAGAGTGATTTTCTCGAGAATTGATGACAAATAATATCATCATGTCATTAGGGACTTTCGAGAAATTCTAGAAAAGCTATACACCGAAAAACCGATTCGTCGATCCCATTGAATTGTGGAGCGTGCGATTTACGCGTGACCCCATCAGAGCTCTTCACGCACGCAGCACGCGATGCAAAACGCGGCAGATTAGGTAAGTGTTTAGATGCGATTGCTTCGGTAGCCTTTAGTTGCATGGACCAAACGAGATGTGCACTCGTCCATAGCTCAACCATGATAAAGTGTAAATCTCTTCATTTTGGCAAATAAGCCCCTTCGAGATTGCAGGTTTAGTTACATAAATCAACATTTTATTCATCAAACGTTCAATAAAAGAGTAATCATAGAATGTTTAGATCCTAATAACGCAATCTTCTGTGAACATGCATGGTTGGTCATTTTTCTGTTATCTTACTTTATATAATTCACTAAGCGTGTCTGTTGGTGTGTCGGTGCTCGGTGTGTGTATGTGTGTACGTGTGTGTGTTTGACCTGAAATTCATAACTCCCGTCCCCGTGCACCCAGAGAGTTCAAGTTTGGTAGGAATGTGAGGAACAGAATGGGAACACTTATGACAAGCGGCAGGACCGGACCCCGCCCACGGGGGGTACGTGTGCGAAAGAAATTTCAGACCGCAAATTCATAACACCTGTTTACGTGTACCTCGAGTGTTGAAATTTGGTAGGAGCACCGGAGGCGGGATGGGAACATTTATGGTTTGCGCAGAGTAAATGTTCGAGCGGAAATTCGCAAATTCTGTTTCCGTGGACCTAAAAAGTTCGGTAGGATTACAGGTTTTCGTATTAACAGTGGTATTCAACATTTGATTAGGTGATGTAGGATATGACGGGATCGTTGGTAGTTGGCGACAGGAACCGATAATAAGTGATAGAAGAATAAGGAGTCTAAAAGAGCGAGAGCCACCTACCGATCAGAATCTATTTACGATGTAGCTTTGAGTGCTTAGTATGTTTCATTCGATAAGATGGGATGCTAGAGTAGGACAAAAGTGAGTGGTGAGTGCAGTGTTAGGGACACAATAGAGGCATTACGATGAGTAGATGGAAATTCTGCTCATTTATTGCTACTAGATTGCTACCCACCAAGGTTTGTGACCCAATGAAGGATCCTCTTGTATCATTTGCAAAACTCAACCGACCGCCAGTTGTCTGGAGCTCTTAAGTAACGATATCTTTATAGAGAAAAAGGCCCATCGATAACGACAACCGATATCGGTGTTATCATCACTCGAAACATTCGTGAGTACCGCCCGAGGCTTTGGTTGCCTGACGAATGAATCTTGATTGGCTACTTACTTTTACGAAAGGGAGCAAGAGATCGAGGGAAGAATTGGGCTACAAAAACCGTAGTTCATATTGATACATGGTGAATTTATGAGAGTTATTTACTGTGCACCGCATCTACAAAACGAACATGCAATGGTCTTGTATAATCGTCTCCTGTACTAATTATAGCTTGAAAACGCCTTGGCTAGTCATCGACGGTGGCACGCAGAGTTTCTTGAGAAACTTCAGCCCGAGCTTTTCTCAGTTATTTCTCAGGAGCAGCAGCAGAGGTGCGTTTTGAAGCACAGGCTTCCCTCTCCAGTACGGACTATACCCAGCGTCCCATAACATTGTGGTCCGGGAAAATCGTAGGAGTTTTGGAAGCTGGGATAAAACCGCGAACATTTCCTCAGCACCAGTCTTGGTATTTTCCCATTCGTGAGCGAGTGCGCCCCAATTTTCAAAACTTATCCCTAGAGAAATCTTCGACCCTCAGCTGCAGCCTTTCAGAAAAACCCATGGTAAAGAGGTTCGGATCGAATTTCATGCTTTTCTTGTCTAAAATTTGCGATATCGCTCTGATGGTAGAGGTTCTCGCTCAAGTCATCATGGAAGAAGGAGAAGGGCTACGAGAGGCGATCTTACTCTTCTCAGCGACTTCAGCACTCGTAGCGTGAAATACAGGGTGTCCCAAAATTATTGGCCCCAAAATTCAGAAATTTCTTAGGTAGAAATAATTTATCAAATTCACATAACCAGTTATTTATCAGTTGCATAAGAAGGTTTCCTTGCAATATGCATAGTTACTGATGTGGAACTCCCAATATCTCTCGGATGGAGGATGTTCATTCAATGCCTCTTGCAATAATTGACACGCGAGAGGTGGAAGGGCATTATGAAATTCTTTGAGACTTTTATAATAACCGTATAGGAGGCTATTGAATCATATAGAAAAGAAGATTGATCCAGAAACAAATCAGGAAATGTAGAAAGGTAGAGTGTTTCCGAAGATAGAACTATCAAAATGGCCCGTCTGCCAATCGGTCGGGATCCTGGGTGACCCATCAAAAGGAATTCAACGGGCACGGCTTACAGGAGTTATCGCTATGGAAGAATGTCATGCAGAAGCCTCACGGCCATTCCTATCGTATGCAGAGATTTCGCTGCAATTCCGATCTCAACAGACACTGCAAGGTTAAAAAATGCAGAAAGCCGCAAACCCACTTGAGTGATGACACGCAACCCTTCGTTGTTTTCTCTGGCCGAAAAATTCTTTACGACAAAACCATCCCTCGACAACCAAAACGTTCGCGTTCAGGAAAGAAACATCTAGCGTGTAGTGTCTCACAAAAAGGTTGCTATAAGAACAGTGAAACGTTGATTTTTGGGGAAATCACTCTCAAGGGTAAGCCGCTCGCGGTTTCTTCGGTGCAAGCGTGAAAATTGACCAAGACCAGCACTCAAACAGCGTGCTGATGGAAGTAATGAAGCACCGACCCGACTACGTTTTCTTAAACATCTCGTAGTCCTTCCAGCAGGACGCTACTCCAGCCCACAAAGCCAAGCTTGCCTGCGAGTGGTGCCGACGACAGCTGCCCGACTTCATTGGTAAAAAGGAATGGTCATCCTATTTTCCAGAATTTGACTCGCTTGACTCCCACGAATGGCCCTGATTAGAAGAAGACCTGTCAAGTTTGCAGTCCCAGTTTGGAGTCCTAGAATGCAAAGGCTGAAGAACGGCTGGGAAGAAATGGAGAAGGATACCTGCGTGACACATGCGATCAAGTCGGGAGCAAACTTTGACTTCTATCCGCGCTCATTGGGGATATTTTAAAATGCGACTGTAGCATGCTGTAGCACATGGTGTTGGCTGGCATGCATAGAAATTTCATTGTCTTTCGCAGCTGTGAATTTTCAAATATGTTGCAATACATCGGCGCCAATAATTTTGGGACACCCTGTATACGAATACTTTGGGATCTCAACATTTCTTCCACGCTGAACACATTTTAGTCAGAAACAAGTGTGGCGAAGCGCGTGCCGCGCCAAGTAGCGCACGGCATTTGTTTTTTCTCTCCAACTTCTTTTCGTCAAGAAGCTTGAAAGGCTCTCGAACCTTGTCTGCATACAATTGTATTTACTAGGAGTAGACTCTTCCCATCGGATTAGAAGATATAAACAAATCAGCAGTCATTTTTTTGTATTTCTGCAGTTTCAGCAGCGTGCTCCTTCCCGAACTATTGTATTTGGAAAGGGGGTTGTATACGAGACAAGACGACTGTATTGAGGTTTGTTTTTGACCTATCTACGCAACGCGATTTAAGAGACTGTCATGTGGAAAATGTTGAAACGAGGAACGAGCCCGGAAAAGGACTCACCAAATGCGCGCAAAGACGGAACGGTCGGTGGGTGTCTGCGAGGATCCACCGTTTCTCGAAATCTGACGAATTGAGAATACCAAAGTAGATATGTGGGCTAAGGTATATCATAAACGTAAGGGGAGGTGCAGCTTTAGAAAAACCCTCCGAACAAGGAAATTTCGGGCGCCCGAAAAGTTGTTACCATATTTATGGCGCACCCTGTACTATTTATTTCAAAGGAACGGAGAGTTAGCCGATTACTGCAACTTCGCCGAAGAAGGAGGGAAGCAAGGCGTAAGCCGGGCAAACTGACTGGTCTTTTATAAGTTCCTATTTCTCTTATTGCGATGGTAAGCATGATGTTATAGCGCGTTTCGTCCACGGCCGTCGTAAGCCCCTCAAATCACGCGATAGGACCTCATTATACCGACGTCGAATCGCATTACACCCCCTTGAATACGCTAGCTGGACGGTTCCAATGAGGCCATGTAGACAGATAAGACCAAAAAAAACTCAAAAAAAGGAGCCAGAAGATGTAGTGGTAGTCTGATTAGTAATGATCAGTGTTTGACGGACTGTGATTTCGATATTTCTAGACGGCTGGTTCATAGAAACTGAACGCGAGAACTGGATGACTGTGAAATGAGTGGGAACAGCGATGCATCTCGCTTATCTGTTTACTTCCAGTTAACAAGACAAATTAGAGATGAATCTGAGAAGTGAAGGGGAAGAGTATGAGCTTCTTATCTGTCATCATATTCTACCATGCAGACCCTCTGCTCGTCTGCGTATTACTACGTTTTTCTGCGATGAGTGAACAGTGTAGAACAACATGTTTTTGCTGGAATATACAATTACATTGAGAGAGGACTTACCCGTAGTTTCAGTACCGTGGTAAAAGTGACACAAGGCTGATCCGAATGGCCAGCTCTTCATATTCAGAGAAGTGGCAGCAACTAGTGATAGGTCAGCGAGGTAGATGAAATCGGCTAGACACAGACCAACCATATAGACGTTCGTTATTGACCGTAGATATCTAGAATATGAATCTCCAGACGAGTAAGAACTTCGAAAAATCGTCTTGTCTTCTTTTCTGTGATTTCCAATCAATCATCCTCACCCGTCAAGCTTGAATTCTTAGGCTTTCTTTCTTAATCGTGAATTTGCTATCTCTTCACAATGGATTTTTGGATGAACAGTTTTCCATCTGACTGGAAATGAGGAGCTCAATAGGCATTTCATAGCTGACGGGAATCGGTAAGTGCGGGTTGAAGATAGCAATCAGAAATTGAAAAATAGCGCCAGTTTGAAGCGAGAACTCTTTCAAAAATTAGAGCCTAAGATGTGATCTATACAGAGATAAAGGTTTTTCTCGGTGGGTCAAATGTCGCCCTATGCAAAAATAAACTTAAGACAAGGGCAGGTATAAACACTACCGGCATCTTTTAGCGTAGAGCGTCAACAGATGATGCTTTCGCGTCAAATAGTGGCGCTTGGGTTCGTCTCTCACTCACCCGGTTAACGAGTCGGACCGCGGCTAAACCTACCCCTCCCCCAAATTGGCGGGGGAGTTGCACGTGACATCTATTCAATTATTGCGGCAATTATATAGCTTTTGAATCGAGCAATTCGCTGCGGGACCATTTCTTCAACGTGATCAGTGATACAAGGTAATCACGCAAGTAAAGCGAGTGTTATGCAGGAATGCAAGGCTTTTTTCTAGCCATTTTCCTAGTGTATCACAGAAAAACTCTCGTTCCCGCTACACCATCAGATGAATGAGTCATGAAGCTATAATCTGATATGAAGGTCCCAGTGAGATAATTTTTTTCTCTATCCTTCTTTTCCGAAATATTGGGGGGTATACTACCAACTGAATTCCCACTCCCACCTCCTTCTCTCTATGGTACCATATAAAACATACCCTACCACTTTTCCTCCCTATCCCCTTGTGTGTTCGGATGGAATCAACCACATCGACGTGGAATCGATTCAGGACAAGAAACCTTCAACGGCGATGTCAGGTAAGTCGATCATTTGAATATTTCTATAAACAAATCGAAATGGACCATAGAAAAAAGGACGCTCTTTCACGATACGTCCACACCAAAAACCCCCTAATGGATAGCGGCACTGCACGTACCGCCTTCACATTTTTAGGGTTTGAGTTACTGTGCGCATCCAGAGCACAGTACACTCCTAATTCTGCAGTGATCAAGTATCACTAATGTATGTAGTCCAGGCGACGAAATCCCAAGTTTATTACGGCCCTCCCTCATCTCATTTATAGCCCATAATAAGGTCACCTCAAAGTTTTGCTAGTTGTTAAGAACGCCATCATTTTTTTCTAGCACCCCTACTCGGGTTCGAACAACATCGGATTTTTACCAGGTAAGAAAAAAATGAAGAAAAAAACAAAAAAGATGATAGTGATGAAACTATAGTTCTAGTGCCAACGGACGGCTACAAGCAGTGTGTGTTGCTGCCGTTCCGAGTGCGTTCCAAGGTTGAATTATATCTAAATCCATAATTATCCGTTATACCGTTAAGTAAAGTTATTACTACTCTAGGATCTAGTCTAGTAAAATAGGAAATATCGCATATATAGAAGCCGTTACTAATAAATCGAAGGACTCAGTCGCTATTTCGACGTCTTTCACTTATTCGGAACTCAGAAGTACCATTGCTCATTCCTACTATCTCTAGGGATGAGCCATAACGGACTTCTTTATTTTAGTGCACTACGAGATTTCACAATCTCATTCTTTGCGGATCCATACGGTCAGCTATTCATAGCTCGACAACGTCTGCCATTTGACACTCGGAAACTCCAACCGAAATCATTCATCCTGTGGCGACATTCCGCATCTCGAGATTAATGATCATCTGATCACTCTAATCCTGAGAAGAACATATGCCCGGCTTATTCGCAAACGAAATTAATGAGTAAAGACGCACATCATTTATCGTACCGGATCATTCGGAACTCAATGTAGGCGACCAATGGCAGCTGCGCCCATTAGCCCTTGGCCGTCTCGAGCCAGCTGCCACAACTGTCACTCTTGTCCCTATGCGAGTTCAGAGTTACGGTATAGCATCAGTCTCCAAGAATAAAAACTTTATCTGCACCAACAGGTGATTAATAATCGAATACAAAGTACGATAACTCAGGTTGAATTTGTTCCAGGAGAACAATAGTCTATATCTAGTGGGGGAGTTTTATTCCACAGAGTGCGTCAGCGCGCCTAACGTATCGGACATTCTTATGACCGTTGCTAGGGTTTACGTCGAACGTACAGAACCTCTTTTTACGACATCATATCATTGTTTCTATAAATCAATAAAAATATGTGCATCATCCTATCATTTATCCTTTTCCGTCAATAATGACGAAGAATTCATGACATCGGTTGACCTTACTCTTTGCAAATATATAACAAAAACTGAAAAATACGAAAACATCCCCCTAAAACCCTTATCAGGCTCCGATAACCAAATCCATTACTCATACCCATGGGTTTTCGGGGAGAAATGCACTAATATCACTAATATCTATTTTGAAAAAGGGGACATTGCAACTTTCGATGGGAGTCACCCGATCGGACAGTTCGGAGATGTGGCACATTGTAAAATAGATGCCACGCAGTGCCATCATAGAGACGATACTGTCAAATGATGCAAACCACCACGTTCACCACCCATATGTCGATATGTTGGAGCCATACGTGGAATCGAATGGTGTCGGCGTTTACGCATAAAAATATATCACTATCACCTTCCCAAAAGAGCGCTTAGTGTTCAAAGTCTAACGTCATACCTATGGACAATGGTGTATTCATAGAGCTGCCGGAATCCGTATTCTCTCAAAACCCAGATGTGGTACGAACTATTGATCAACAACACTTTTACAACTCGCACTTAGTCCAATTCGTAGATGCACTCACCCATATCGACCAATCCTTGAGACAACCCTCAGGTGTTCATTCACGTAGACCTGCATAATCAGACGACAAAGATTTGCACCGGTTGCCACTACGTGATAGCGAGCGGACATTTAATCTTACTAATAAAAACATGAGGTTGCTATACAACTGGGCAACACAAGCTCTCGAAAAAAACCTATGCTTGAGGAATTCTTTCAATTCTTAGGACAAAAACCCCAAAAACGGCAAACGAAGATAACTACTAACAACTATGAAGCTTTAACGACCCTACTAAATAAGCCCAAGCAATCAGTTCTTAAAATTACGAAATCATCTCTAGAGCACATCCGCCCTAACATATCAGCACGCATAGCCTACCACGTCGCCACCAACTTCGAACCAGACTTCACCTCTAGGTATAGCGACCCAAATCTAGGACATGAGCAGCGAGAGGATAATAGACGTGCTGAGCTTAACACTAAGATGCAATTCCTCAAACTTATAATGGAGAAGATTTCGCAACAAGATCTCAACTTTCTATTAGATCGCATTTGCTTTTTGACCAAGTTCAAAATCCAAATTATAAGAAGCATTCCTTCGCTCAACCCAACCAGCGCTGCTCGAATACTTCTTAACAGACAGATTACCGCTGTCCATAACATATATGGCACCTGTTATTCTTTTGCACCGGTTCGAGTAGAAAAGGCCTACTATTTTATTCTACCTGGCACACGCGATCTCATTAAATCTAGCTCTAAAGCCGACTGTTATCACCTATCTTTTGGTATCTACAATGATCGTACCAACCATTATAATTCACCCGCAGGCTATACCCAAGTATTAAATATCCATTTGTATTTACCCTACGACTTTGATGTTCAAGAAGTCATCTTTAACGCGCCACCAATATTCCACTCAAATCTACCCTAAATCTCCACAGATATTTATCTTATCAAAAACCATTAAACTTTGGGAGCGTATTCTGCCAACAACCACATCAAACCATCGGACGACTCTGAAGTAACTGCAGACTTGCAGAATTAAAATGCTTGACGACAGCGTGTGATTCATTCACGACGATACTATCAAAACGCTTAGCGATACAAAAAATCATCAATGGCAATCTTCATCAGCTAAATCGAAGATGGCCAAGTAGGCTCGTAAAAGGTAATATCTGAGTCTTACTCGTAACGAGAGTTTCAGAATTGCATATGGTTTCATTCTGAAGATCTTGCCGGAAGGTGGGGTCTAACTTTGCGTTGTAAGACTTTAAAACCCGCTGCCAAGATGTTAAATAAGTTCTTATCAACTGAACTCTGAGTTTAGCGGCGGTCGTCCAAATGACCGGTTGTTCCTAGAAGGTCTGAAGAAGGCGATAACGCCGAAACGTAAGTTGATAAGAACTTATTTAACATCTTGGCAGCGAGTTTTAAAAAAGTCTTATAACATTAATGCAAAGCTATGCCAAGATTCATCGAGAGTCAAACATGGATGCTTAACTTTGCGTTGACTTATCAGTAAAACCAATATTTTTACGGAATATCGAATAAATATTGTTGATATCAAAAGAAATACCTAGCATCACACTCATTCTACATTCTTTACTACATTCGTCAGATCTATACAAATTGTATCACTTGTATTCATGATTGTTGGACTGATTTGGTTATCAATTTCAGCGAATTCTTTGAGAATATCCTGGATTTTATCACTACGATTAGGAGAGCTGTCATGCTTGAAGTTGCTCACAACAAAACTCGACCCCATTCTTCATATCTTGGGTCACAATTATGTCAAGGCGGCAAAGACGAATCTATAATGATTGCGGACAAAAAGATAAGGATCAGAAGTCAATCAATAAAGAAAAGATGTTGTTGAATTCAATGAAGCTCTTAGGCAATGTTACACTCTTGAAGCAATCTTGTGGCGTCATTCCGAAGAATTCAAGGCAAATTTTAACACTGAAAATTCTAGGGATTTGAGTGAAAAGTAGAAGAGTTGATTGCACACACTCTCATTCTAGAAACGAGATTCCTTGTATTCACGGTAACCAAGTATAGATGAAACGCAGTAATTAACAGAAAG